AATAGCAATTACAAGATCTCTATAGTTCTCTAAAATTTAACTTTATAGGCAACCCTCGAGAAAGCCATTCGCCTTGGCTACGAGCAGTATGAGAGGCTGGAGAAGGCCGAGAAGGGCCGCATTGCTGCTCAAGGTCCATTTTGATGATAGCTTTTTTTAAGTTTTTTGGATTTATTAATATATTCCTTATAGGAAACCGTGGTGATCTACCGGCGGCGCTGCTCTCCCATTCGCTACTTATGGCCCCGAAAAAGGAGTCGTTGGATATCGCACGCACGGCGGGAATTCTCTCCGAAACGACGCGAATCCTGGTGGATGGGTGAGTAATAGTTTAGCCACTAAGCTTTAAGTTATATCAAATAATGCTAATTCTATAAGAACTCCGAAATTTGATTAAAAATATAGAAAAATACGATTTTTCGACAATTTGGCCGATTTTCGAACAAAATCCCGATTTTTCCAACATTTTTTAGGTTCCATAAATAGTTTTTCTACTTTAAATATAGTTAAATGTTCTAAAAATACTGTAAAATACTTACTATTATACTACCTAATGGTCTTATTGTTTCCAGAAGTCAACTCAACCCCGGAGGGAGTTGCCCGCCTCAATCCTCGATATCTCCACCCTAAAGCAGCTACTTTCGGCGTCGATGGGCCAAGGTTGTCGGCAATTTTAATAATTCATTTTTGGGTAAGTAATTAAATAAATAATAATAAGTAAATCGACCGTTAATTTAGGCGTGACAACCCGAAGCGCGAGGAATGTTTGCCGGAACCGTTGCCCTGTGATCACACCACAAAATATAGGTATTCGAAGGGACTTTAAAAAGTTAAATCGAATCCCGATAGAACCTTTTCCGGCTGGTGCAACAATCTGGGAGTTTCCTGCCAGTACGGCAACGCGTTCGGGTCGATGCGCCGGTTGTTGGACCCGGCTTATGATGATGGTATCGTTTTGTAGCTTTTGCGGCTCTGGTGCGTTACCGGGGGGAATAAAATTTGCCTATTCGACTACCAATGCCTCAATAACGAAGTATAAAGTATTTTAACAGCATTTTACGTCTTTTTAAATGAACCATTCAAATGGTTTCTTTTTCAGGCTTCGATCACCCGCGAACAAAAGCCAAATCCGGTAAAACTCTGCCATCAGCCAGAAAAATCTCGAACGTCGTCCACGCGGATGCCCCGAATTTCCACGTCAAATTCACGCACATGGTAAAATCGCCCCTAGTTTCTTAAATATCGCTATTTAGGTAATGCAATTCGGGCAAATTCTCGACCACGACATGATGCATTCACCTATTTCGCGAGGTTTTCCAAACTCTAGGTTTTGAAACGACGTTTTTAGGACCCGGAAATACGATCCTCAACTGCTCCGAGTGCGATTCGTATCAAAAATTATCAGGTTAAGGGTGTGGATTTCTTAACATATTTTTTAGTTCATTGCTTCCCGATAAAAATCGATCAGGGGGACCCGTTTTTTCCAGCCACATACCCGGATGGACGGCCAAGGTTCAATTTCGTATCTTTCAACTTTAGCAAAATTGTAGATGCATGCCGTTTGCCCGGAGCCTTCTCGGCCAGCTCACCCTTGGATATCGGAATCAAGTAAAAAAAATTATAAAACACGAATACGTTTACGCCGTTTTTAGCTAAACCAGCTCACTTCATACTTGGACGCTTCGACCATCTACGGCTCCACGCAGTGCGAGGCCAACAAATTGCGCCTCTTCTCGAGGGGACTGCTCAATTTTACGAATTTGGGGTCAGTGGATTAGTAAATCGACTGCCGATTGGGTTCGAAGTTCTTCCCAAGACCTAAACCTAAAAGTAAAGCGAGAGTAACCTAAAAAAGTGCAAAAAGCCTACGACACTCGGGATTCCCAAGCCGTCTCCGATCCAAGTACTAACCGAGCCCAACGTTGCTTAACTTGGCAGATCGGACGGGATGCCGTGCTTTCAACGTGGTATGGTCGTAGGCGAAGGGAGGAGTGGGCAGGGGGTATGTGTAGAGGGGAGGAGTGAAATAGCGGGCTGAGAGTGGAGGCACGAGACAGGTATGTGGGCTCGGCCAAGAAATCGAGTGAAAGGGGAATTAGTGTTTCCAAATTTCTGTAGAAAAATATAAAATAATGATTTGGGCGTTATTTATGAATGCAAATATCGTTAATTAATTAATAAAGCTAATTTTTAAGTTTCAACAAAGAAGCCCTACCCCAAGGCCCGCAAGAGCGAGACTGCCGCTCCATTCTCAAAGATCCCAAGTAAGCATCAGATAAAAGGCAAGAGATTATCTTCAAATCTTCAGGGCCCGCTGCTTCGAGGCTGGAGATGAACGGGTGAACGAACAGCCTGGACTCGCTGTGATCCACACCATCTTCCTCCGCGAACACAACCGAATGGCCACCGAGCTGAGGAAGCTGAACAACTTCTGGAGCGACGAGCAGTTGTATCAGGTGCAACTTATACCTTTTTGCGCAAAAAAACGCATTAGGAAACGCGCAGGATCATGATCGCGAAGCTACAGCACATCATCTTCGCCGAGTGGTTGCCGGTAGGAGCAAATTTCGGAATTAAATAGAAAATTGCTTCGAAAATCGGTTCTTCTCTGTTAACGGGGGGGGGAGGCTGGGCCGTTTTATTTATCTTTCATAAATTTTTGGCCAAAAAGTCAATAATTTGTCTATAGTTCGTTATAACGCCGTACGGAATTTTACCCACCCCCCCCCACCCCCGTTACTAGAGAAGAGCCCGAAACTACATCAAATATTTTTTTAAATGTTAGGTGGTCCTGGGGTGCGAGACGATGGCCAGATACGATCTGATGCCAAAGAAGAATGGCTACTACACCGGTTTGTTCGGCGAAGATCAAAAAATTCTTTTTTTCAGAATATGACCCCCATTGTGACGCGTCCATCACGCAAGAAATGTCAACTTCCGGTGGGCTTTAACAAGTTATTGTATGCGTAAACTTTTGCAGCCTTCCGCTTCGGCCACACCCTGATTCGAGCCATGTTCCCGCGCATGAATGCGGCTTTTGGCAACGAGACCGAGCCGGTCGTTTTGAAGGTGCGTACGTCAATATTCAGAGCGGAAAATTTCCCCAAGATTCTCTGCTAGCTGTCATATTATGCACCCAAAATTTAGGATCACTTTGCGAATCCACTTCCGCTCTACAACAAAACCGTGGGCCATATGGAGTCGCTGTTGATGGGGCTGGTTGGGGCGCATAGGTGGGCGAATTCGACCTTTTTAAATGTTCATATTTATGTTTCAAATAACGTGAATTAAAACCCGTACCTAGTATGGCGTTCGATCGCCACATCACGGATGCCGTTCGGAATCACCTCTTCGCAAAACCGGGAGGGCCATTGACAGGTAAACTTATAGAGCTTGTAAAACTGTAAACTTCGTTTCCTGATTTATCCCTAACTTGATTCAAAACTTAGGAATCGACTTACCCGCTGTCAACATCCAGCGAGGACGAGATCACGGCGTTCAACCCTATAACGCGTATCGGTTAGTGGACCCGTTTCAACCTCTAAAACATCGTATGTAGTGAAATCTGCGGTTTCCCGCGTGCCCACCGATTTGCCGACCTGAAAGATACGATGGATAAAGAGGCGATTGAGGTCGTTTCGCTTAGTTAAAAATTTTATATAAGGTTTTAGGCCCTGGAAAAGGTCTACGAAAGCGTGGACGACATCGACCTATTCCCGGGGCTGATGAGCGAGCGGCCGCTAAAGGGAGCGCTAGTCGGGCCGATGCTCGCCTGCATCATTGCCGAGCAGATGCAACGGTTGAAGAAGTGCGATCGGTTCTACTATGAGAATGATCAGCCGTCAACGCGATTTACGCCCGGTAATAATTTTTCATTGGAAATTAGCTAAATATTATTAAAAAACTCTTAAAATTCAGTTGCTGCCGATAAGACGAAAACACATTTTATTGGTTTTTTCGAATTTAATCGAAAAATAAATCCCTATCTAGGTCAACTAGCCGAAATTCGCAAATGGATCCTGGCGGCCAGTGTTCTGCCCGGGAATAGCCAGTGGGCCAGCCAGATCCAGCCTAACGCACGTATTTTTTGATGGCCGATGAGTTGAGGTGAGAAATCCTTTAATTGTCCTGTTGAAAATTAACTGCTCTTGCCTAGCAATTCGCCAATCACCTGTTCCGAGGTACCACAAGTCGACTTGACCGAATGGGTGGACGGAGGCGTAAGTCTTAGGTAAAGCTAGGGGTTTTTCCAAAGCATGCCTAGAAACCATATTAAAACCCCAGAAAAAAAGAAATAATCCCATTAATTCTTCAGAATGGTGCGTAATCGGTGATCGGGTCGTCGGACGGGGCAAAACCGCTAGAGGCAACGCCCTGCGTCACCTGCACTTGTACAGCCGACAGGTAAGAAGTTTGACAAAATACCAAATTCACGAATTTCAGCCCGAGTGCCATCCGATGATCGTGGAAAAGTGCGAAAGCCTCCTTGACACATACTCGCTCCAGCGATATTGCTACGGTAATCCTAAAACCTCTAAATTATTAATTTATCAGGATACCTCTTGCGTCATACAATGCTCGAAGCTCCTCCACGAGCAGAAGGGGACGACTTTGATTTTTGGATATATCTGCTAAGCTACTCTTTGGGATGCATGTGATACAGCGAAGGGAACTGTGAAATACTCATTGTATTTATTTCATTTTCGAGGGTTATCTCGTGGAATAAACTTTAACAAGAACAGCGTAACAACCAGAAGCTTTCTAACAAACCATTCCAGAACTCAACACAGACAGCAGCAATTCCACAGCTCTAGATATCAGACAATTCGTCTTCCAAGTCCTCATCTTGCTTTTTCCACTGCTCAGCCACTGGCGACTTGTGGCTGGTGCGCATAAAGTTGCTCAGCACTTCCATTTCGTCCTCGGCCGCCTTGATGTTCTCCAGGGTACCCAGTTTGATGCAGTACGCTGAAAACAGGCGCGCAAAGATAGGTCATCAAACGGATTAGATTCATTACAAATAACCTACGTCTCAACTCCGAATCTTGGCCCGACCTCTTCCAATTCGATCTCTCACCTCCCTCAACTTTTAAAAAAACATAAATAGGAATTTGAGGTTCTTCCTGCGGAATTCCAGGGAAGTATTTCCAGGGAGCCGGGGGAAACCAAATTTTTC